TCGATCATGGATTACAAAAAATTCGATCATGGATTACAAAAAATTCGATCTTGTATTACAAAAAATTCGATCATGGATTACAAAAAAAAAAATGTGTTCTTCACATAGCCATTTTACATAAGCCATTTTAACTCAAAAATCCACCTCTAAGCGAATAAATTACATCCAATTGAGTACATTTTCTTGTAAACAACAATATAAGGAATCAAAACCCTAAATTTTGAACACATTATCATCAATAAATCAATCAAATCGATTAAATTGAGCAAAAAAAAAAACGCAGTTCTTCATAGACAACAGTCATTGAATCTAAAAAATGAAGCTCAAATTGAATAAATCAGATCAAATTGAATACATCTAATTATAAACAACACTATAACAATTAAAAACGCTAGAAATCTAACACATTATTTGTAATATATCATGAACAAAAAATCAAAAGGTGGAAAAAAAAAAAAAAAAAAACAGCAGAAATGTTTTTTTACAGATTATCACTGTGTTCATCTAAAAAATCATGCTGTAATTGACCAAATTAAATAAAATTGAATATGTTCAATCATAATAGACACAATAAAGATTAAAAACCCTACAAATTGAACTCATTATCTTCAAAATATGCAGTGAAATTAATCATATGGCGGAAAAAAAAAAAACCCAAACTTCTTACCTGGTTTTGTGAACCCGAGCCTTCAATCTCCGAATAATGCTTTTCTCAACGATTATCACAAATTCGTAACAGAAGGTTTTGATGAACAACTTTACGATTAAAATGCCTACAAATTTTGACAGATTCATGCCGTATTTGGCATGAAACACAAGGAAAGGCGAAAACCCTAAAAATGCAACTTTCGTGATCCAAAAACACAAAATTTCTTAACCATTTAATCCGTGAAAAAGCTGAATAAAGCTGTTTAAAGCTTGCATATTCGATCACATGCCAAAAAAAACAAGAAAATGATCAAAAAATGACAAATTTTGAAGAATCCCGTGAAGAACACTGTGCAGCCCTTGTTCTTTATGGGACTCGTCGATTCCGTATAGTGAATCGGCAAGTCACTGTACAGAATCGCCTGGTTCTCTCTAGAATCGGGCGATTCCCGATTTTTTGAGCAATTCGAGACGCCTATGACCGATTCTCGAGTCGAACCGGGTGAGTCCGGTTCGACTCGACGGTTTTTTAAACACTGGTTTGGAATGTATACTTCCTTATTATTATTATTATTATTATTATAAATTTTTTAACTCTTTTTACTACTACAGTTCCCAACACTATTCGAGCCAAGTTACTCAAACTCGGTCCAAGTACTCAGCTCGGGCCTGGACCGAGTACTCGGCCCCGATTCGACCTTTCTAAGTACACTTTTATCAAGATTGCATGTTCATGAAATTGTCTACTTACATGAGAAATGGCAAAACTCGATACTCCAATGTATACCTTTATGTCACATGCAAAACAAGCGGATTGACTCCCCTCCCCCCGTGGTCGGTGGTCCGCGTTGTCCACCACTCTCTCTCTACTCTTTGCATTGTCCACTTTTTCTCTTAAATCTGTCTCTCTCTCTCAACCTCAAGCTTTGGTGCGTGCTTATTTAGAGACACACCAACTGAAATGTTTGTTTCTCCATTGGCAAATCAATCACATAGTTAGTAAATCTGTCTCTCTCTCAACCTCAAGCTTTGGTGCGTGCTTATTTAGAGACGCACCAACTGAAATGTTTGTTTCTCCATTGGCAAATCAATCATATAGTTAGGCATGGGGTTAGGGTCGTGGTGGTAGCATCCCACACTTAATCACCACATTGTGGTTTTTATTCTTATTAATAACATCACACCACTAACACTTTAAAAAATCTAACTTTTAATCTACTTTAAAAAAAACGAGTAGGGGCATGCCTTTTGAATTACCAAACAAAAGGAACCAATAATACATGTAATTATAGGCTCTAGAAGGTGTGGCTTCTTTGTCCTCTCCATTTCTATCTATAGTTTGTAGACTAAGAATAGAGTTGGCAATGGACCGAGCAGTCTGGTGCCCTGGTCCTAAAATGGTAGGGCCTGATCCACAAATTGTGACTCGAGAATCAGGCTAGGACTAGGGTCAGCCTGGCCCACACTTATTTTTTTCTTAATTTTTCTTTACATTTTTAATGTATTTTTGGCCTAGCCCTGACCTAGGTCAGGCAGGCACTATGGGGACAAGGGCCAGGACCAGCTACACCTATAGTCATAACAATATTTATAAAAGAAAATATGTCACCATCTACTATTTTATTTTTCTTTCGAAACCGTGTATCTCACTGCCATTAGTTTAGCAGTCTTCAGGAAACCATGGTCACTTCCCCAGTTTTCTGATCTGTTTTCTAATCAGACAGCATATTGTGACCACCCGTTCGCCTATTGTTTAAGACCTTCTTGCAACCGTAGTGAGAAATCCTTCGTTTTAAAGCGCCACCTTTTCAAAATGATTTCTTTGATTTTAATTGTTGATTTCTTAGAAAATGTTTTAAAGGAGTAATTTTAGATTTTTTTCTGAAAAAACTCAGTTCTTAAGGAAAACAAAATATAGCTATCATTATGCAAAATCTTTGCAAAGAATCTTCTTAAAATTATATATTTTTGTTATTTTGGACTCCTCTTAAAATTATATGCAATCTTCTCTCTCTCTCTCTCACTTTGTTCTTGCATTTGAGCCAAAGTCATGTTGTAGAAATTGGTGATATGTAGATTTTTTTTTTTTTGACAGTATCCGAAATTTATTAAAATAACCCCAGATTACAAGATATCACTTACATCATAACAAATAAACAAAACATTCAACATAGCTTGGCCAGTGAATCAGCCATCTATTTTCCTTCCTTGTAAATATGTTGAAATGAAAAACCCATATGGTGATACGTAGAAATTGGCGTTTATACTTTACTATTTTAGCCTTAAAATCTTAATTAATTTTAGCCGGTGGAATGAGTTTTGCCAACTAAAAATGACAAGGTCTTGGTAATGATAGGTATTCAGTTCCGTTATGAAATAAAACATTCTCTTAATTTTACTCCAATCCGCTAAGCTCCACTCATATTAAAAACCCTTAGGCAAGTTGCTAACTATACTGGAAGTTGCTCGCTCTTGTAATATTTCAGTTGTTTTATGCCTCACATCATCATAGCATTTTCTCAATTAATTAAAATCGGTTAAAAAAATTTATAAACTAAAATCTTACATTGAGTAAAAAAAATAAGAGATTTAGTTCTGAAATGCAAATATTGACTACCCATCAAATAAATGAGCTACATGAACTAGAAATGGTAGATTTATAATTTTCATTATTTTTCTATCCACCTAGATGAAATCTACATGCACGCAAAACTTCAATCCTAATAAATTGGCAGGATTACATTTTTTTAAAAAAAAAATCCATAAAACTTCAATCCTAATAAATTGGCAGGATTACATTTTTTTAAAAAAAAAAGTCCATAAATTCAACTCATGTGCCCTAATACTGCCTAACACTAAAAAAGGACTAATGTGCCCTCATACAAGTAAAATATCACTAATATGAATACAAGTGCAAATATATGTTGCTCCTTTGGGAGTATACTGTCTATTTGCTCCTTTGAATAAAACCTATGCCAAGAGTATGTATCGGACCTCATATTTTAGGATTAGGATTGTTGTATCTTGCACCTAGTGGCCAACCTCCAAAAAAAAATTCAAATTGCGTCTTCTATATGCTTTAAAAAAATAATGTTCGAATAAGGGTTATCCAAATTGTGGAGGAAAAAAATCTAAGCATTGAAGAACTTCATATCACAATTTTTTTTTTTTAATATCTGAAGATTATTGGATAGTCCTTCCAAATAGCTCTCTTACCCGAGAGAAAAAGAGGCGGGGGTCATGGTGGTAACACCTCACATTTTAGTCATCACATTGTGGTTTTTATTTCTACTATTAGCAAAACCTTATTAATATTTTAAAAAAGCTAACTCCTAATCTACTTGAAAAATCAGGTAGGCGCATATCTTCCCCACTATATTACTACAAAAAAATAAAAACCCCATGAGCGTCAATGTCTAACTAATATATGCTCTAGCTAGATGCAATGAAATCACTTACTTTTGCGCATGAAACTTAAACATGAACATGATCTCTACCAGGAATAGGGTTTAGGCTTAATTCGTTAGTGGAAGACGTACTTTCGAGCATGAAACTTTAAACATGAAACATGATCTCTACCGGGATTAGGGTTTAGGCTCAATTCGTTAGTAGTAGAAATAGGGTTTACGCTTAATTCGTTAGTAGTAGACGTTGCGTTCTATTCCTACATCTGACTTGCCCACCGAAAAAGGAAATTGTTACATGTGGGTGGACCGCATGACTACGTATGCGGTCCAAATAGTGTAAAGCATCCATTTTAAAGATGGATGCAAATACGTATTCTATTTAAAAACAATAGAAACTAACGGTCCAAATGTTTTCTTGCTAGAATTATTATTTCTAGTTAAAAAATTTACTTAATTTTTCATAGTCGTGATCTCCATGAGATTATATATCTTAAAAATTAAGTCATAAAATCTATCTCAAAAATAGATTTATTAATAGACCCGCATTTCTACATATGCGGGCTTGGCCGTAAAGAAATCGGGTCCCTAAAAAATAATCATCAACCAAATTTTTTTTCAATTATTTAAGGATTATATCTTTAGTGAGATTATAAGTTTTCATATCTTTTCTCAAGAAATAAAATAAATAACATAATTAAAAAATAATTGATGCTTACATTAATCTTGATTATTGGATGTAAAATTGATTGCAATTATTCTATTGACCAAGTTCAACCTTCAAAATAAAATTTTTCAAACTTTATAACGCATTCAACCTATCAAATATCACATCTAATAGTTGGAAATAATTGTTACCGTGGATAAGTCTCCCTAATACAATCGCTTTTCGCAATAAGAGATCCTACCATGAAAACCAGTTGGCCGTTGTTATATACTGTCATCGCGCTCTTGTATACCCGCCAAAAGCTGCACCCATCAGGATATCAATTATAGCCATCGATGACACGCGTATTCAAATCTGAACCGTCCGATCCCCAATGAAAGTAGCACGAATTTTACGGCCTCCACGCGGGGACCAGGCACTAGGGCACTGCTCAATTTAGTGGCGGCTCCAGCCGCCTGCCCCTCTTTTCCATAGCATTTTGACTGTCTTCTCCGTTAAAGGTCGAGCGATTTCAAAGGCAGTTCGCTTTGCTGATATTTTCCCGCAAGTAGTTTTAGGGATTTTTCTTTGTTTTGCTCCTCATTTTTGGTTTTAATGGCGGATCGGCTCAACTCATTTCAGTCGAATGTTCATTTTGTAGCATCTAATGGTGGATCGGACTAAATCGTTTGATATTTTCTAACGCTCGTGAGTTGTCACTATACGTTTTTTCATTTTGGGGCGAGTGTTTACAGCTTCTCTTTCTCTTTGTTACTGGTTTTAATGGCAGCTTGGGTTTAGCTTTTAACATTTTGTTTGGCGTTAATGCCAGTTTAGCTTTGTTTCTGCTGGTGTTTAAAATGTGATTGATTTAATTGGACTTTGGAAATTTTTTAATTATTGTTGCTTGTTAAATGGTAGCGCATTGTTTGATTCTTGATAGATATCTGCAGTTCTAAAGATCCCTAGTTACTGGTTCCAATGACCATCCAGCTTTGATTTATTAAAATCTTCTAGTATTACTGGTTTTAATGGTGGTTTGGGTTTGATTCTTTATGCTTTTTGAGCGCTACTAGTTTTAGTGGAGAATTGACTTCCAGGGTTTAAAATTTTTCATTGTGGCACTTGTTTACTTCAAGGAAAGGTTCCTCATTTGTTTTTATTGGTAAATGGGTTCTAATTTCATTTGTTCTTTGTAGCTGTCATGCTTTTGATGGGCCTTAGTCCTTTAGTAATTTATCACTATTGTCCTCAATTACTGGTTTAATGGTGGCAACTTTGAATTTCTAAGGATTTTGCTGTTTTTTCCTCCTCACTTGTTCTCACATGGTTGATTTTTTTTTTTTTTTTCTGCTCATTACTATTCTAATGGGGATTCAACTTTGCTTATCTAAAGTTTTAAATGTTATATCAGCTGTTATATCAGTCATATCTTTTCAAAAAGTAAAAAAGGATTTTGACTGCTATATCCTTGATGCTAGTATTGCTTTTCTGATTTGGATATTTAGAGTTCTGAACTTTTCCATTTATCACACTCTAGTACTTCAAATAACATGTGATACTTCTCAAAAGCTGGTTTCAGTGGCCATTTAACAATGATTATTTATGCTTAAGATTGTTGTGTTCTGGAACCTGATGTATTTTAGGTATTTGAATTAAATTTGAGATGTTTTTTAAGCTTCTGTTAATAGATCAATATGCATATGGAGTTTCAGGTGTTAAAGGAGCGAGAAGATTCAATTTATTTGTCGAAATAACAGATTAGAAAGCTGGAGCTATCAGCTGAACTGCACTGAGGGTTGGTTCTTGGGATTCTTCAGTTTGTTCCAAATTGACCACAAACCCTAACTTTTTCAGATTTCTGCTAATATTGACATATTAATTGGAACATTTGTGAAATTTAGGGTTCCTTGCTGTGGGTTTGCTTGCTAAGCATGGCAACCACAGCTTATTTGAATATTAGAAACCCTCAAACTTGTTTGAGAACAAGATCAACCTTTATTCATTCTATTTCTTCTTGCTCCTTTGTAAATGGGCAACTTGTAATGGGTAAAAGAAATGCCTTCGTAAAAATAGAGTTAAGGGTTCGATGTGAGCGCCAAGCTTTTGCAGTGGTAGAGAAGCTTGAAATTGGATTTAAAATTGTTGAAGAGAATGCTGGGCAATTGAGTTGTGTGATGAAGTTTGGTGGGTCATCAGTGGCTTCAGCCGATAGAATGAGAGAAGTTGCAGACCTAATTCTAGGGTTCCCTGAAGAGAGGCCTGTGATCGTATTGTCGGCAATGGGAAAGACAACCAATAAGCTTTTGCAAGTATGTGTTTGTTCCTATTGCTTCTCTAGTGGCCCTATTAGCATTCCATTTACATTTTCACAATCTATAGTTGTCCAGTAATGAACTCTTAGTACTATATCTTAAACTCGAATAGTGGGAGTATGTGATTCAATTTATATGTCCTAGGGTGGGGAGAAGGCTGTCAGTTGTGGAGTTTCAAAGGTCTCTGCCATTGATGAGTTGAATGTCATCAAAGAGCTGCATCTTACGTAAGTTTCTTGTCATCTGTTTGGTGGTGGCTTATTAGGCGTTTGCAATGACTGATCTTTTGTGCTTCTATATCTCCAGGACAGTCGATGAACTTGGAGTTGACAGATCAATTATATCAGGTGATGATTATTTTAAGTGAATCATTTATTGTACAATCTGAGAAGATGTGACTCCTCTAATCTCTTGAGAAATTTTCCATGTTAAGATTACTGAGAACAAATATTCTGATCTTGTTTCTAAGTCATCAGGATGGGCACCAACTGGAACTAGCTTGGATCATCATATTTTATGATCTGATTGGTGCTTTTCATTACTCAATGAAACTGCATTCCTCAAAAACATGGTTAGCCGTTAAATTAATGATTCTTGTGATAGGGGCATTTGTTTGACGCCAATTTTTAAACAAACATGTTTTTATTCGTACGAATAATATCAAAAAAAAAAAATCTAAAACTAAGAGGTGTTTTTTTAACCCAATTAACATAAGCCATCCATTTGATGGGACGATTAGATCTAGGCCTTAGAGGGAATTTATCTATCCTAACTTTTGTGTAGATATGATTATTATCATTAGGTGAACAATTTTTTTTAAAAAAAAAAAAAATTAAATTTGAACTATTTTAATATCCCTTAAATGGATGGTCTTACTTATTTGTTAAAGAATAACTCATTTTATCTTTTTTCGGGGTGTAAACAGAATTTTTTTTCTTTAATCTAAATATGATAAGCAATGCATCTTTTATGCCTCATACTGTATACCATGAATTTATGGATCATATATTGTGGGAAACTAGACTTTATATATTGTAAAAACAATATGTATCGGCACGTTGGATGAGATACTTCGTCTTGTATATTGGGAAACACCAAGGCATATTCTGCTCCCTGTAACAAAAAAGGACAACTTCTTTGTCTTTTGTTTTTGTGACCATCTGTTTCCATGTAAAGTTTGAATAGTTACTGAGATCTTTATGTTCATTGCGCCTTACTGATCAATTCAGAGCTTCTAGAGGAGTTGGAACAGCTTCTTACAGGAATTGCGTTGATGAAAGAACTGACTACTCGTACAAAAGACTATTTAGTTTCATTTGGAGAGCGCATGTCAACAAGGATATTTGCTGCATATCTGAACAAGATTGGTGCTAAAGCCCGGCAAGTATGTTTCTTCATTTACTACTAAGCTTGATGTTCATTTACTACTAAGCTTGATGTGGAATTACATGTTCTGGTTTAGGCTGTATTTTGAGAAGCTTAGGTGACAGCACTAGAGATGCCATCTATGTCACTTGGATTTCAGGCAAAGCTGTTATTGTAGATGCATAATATGTGACTAAGATATTTACTGCATGACATTGAGTGACGCTCCTTTTGTGATTCATGAAGACATGGAGCACTAGAGAGATATATTTGTATCTCGCTAAGTGTGAATTTCATTTGGTCAAATATGGGAGTAAATATGCAGAATGTGTGATGTACTGCTGACATTAAGCTAATACAAAAGGTGCTTAGTTTGTCGTAGTCTCTTCAAAGAAAAACTTAGAAGAATGGTGATGCAGAACCACACCCCTACTGTGGAAACTCTTGACCTGTTGGGATAACATCCTTTGCATATGCTTGACATATTTATATTTCCTTAACCCATTTTTTTCTTAGAAACAAAAAGCCTCGTGGAGATCCATATTCCATAGACACCTGTAGAGAGCATGATCTGGAGTTGGTCTGTCATGTAACTATTACCTGTCTCCGGATTGCTGAAAGGCTCTAAATCCTTCTTACATTTGCTTGAACTCCTTTTGCTCCAGGTGGTAATTCTATAAAACAGTTTAATCAGTATGAGTGGCAATGCTAAAAATGAAACTAGTAAAGCCAACATAATCTTCAAGTTTCAGTAGGACTTGGCATGGTGATCTACATGGATAAGGATATGGCGGAACCTTATCATAATTACTTTTTCCATCCGATAATTTTCATCATGCCTTAATTCAGCCATTATACCATGGCTTATTTTCCTCAGTTGCATCTGGTTTTGTTTAGCATGACCTTCTCCTTTTGATAATTGGCATCCTAACAGTCAGTAGTTAAGCTTCTTTCTGCCTTCATGCTCCCAGAATCCTTGTTGCATCTCGATTGGTTCCCATGCTTGAAGTTGTCCGAACTTCAGAATTTATTGAGCAAAAAGATCCCCTTCTTGGAGGAAACCTTTTTAATTCTAGAGTGTATTAGCTTTTGTTTCAGTTGATAACCCAGCTTTGACCTTTGTGCAGTACGATGCGTTTGATATTGGTTTTATAACCACTGATGAATTTACAAATGCGGATATCCTGGAAGCAACATATCCTGCAGTTGCAAAGAGGTTGCATGGTGATTGGGTTAATGATCCTGCAATTCCTGTGGTGACTGGATTCCTTGGGAAGGTCTTAATTTACCGTACTGCCTCTACCATCTTTCTTGCCCCACTATGCTACTGGTGTTCTATTTAATTAGAAATTTTTTTGGAATCTTCTTATGGTGTTGAAATTCTTATATGCATATGATATCCTTGATGCAGGGTTGGAAATCATGTGCTATTACTACCTTGGGCAGGGGAGGAAGTGACTTGACAGCTACAACTATTGGTAAAGCCCTGGGCCTCCGAGAGATTCAGGTCCTTTCCAGAACTATAGGCATATTGTATGCATGTTTTCACTCTAGGATCTGCAACATTCTTACTTGTGCTTCTTTGATCACAAATATGAACAATTGTTTTTTCCACTTGAACCATGAGTGGGTTTCTGGACCTCTATTTTTTTTCTCTTTCCATTCAATACAATTTGACTTCTAGTAAGTATGAGCATATGACAGGGAAGCATTCTTTCAAATTTATTGCAGGTGTGGAAGGATGTGGATGGGGTTTTGACTTGTGATCCAAATATTTATCCCGGAGCAGAGCCTGTACCATATTTAACATTTGATGAGGCAGCTGAACTTGCCTATTTTGGTGCTCAGGTGCCTTCTAATTGTAGTTTATTTTGTTTTTTACTTTGTCCATATTTTAAGACAAGTAAAGCTATAAGTATCTGATTTCTGATTAGAATAGATTTCTAATTCTCTATTCATTGTTAAAAATGTTATTAGTGTATTTATTATGAGGAATGGAACAACTTGGAATATGAAACCAATAAGATAAAGTAACTCAAAAATGGCAGTGCATGTGGGATTTAACCCCTAGCCAGTTGCAACTTGGATCTCTTGAACTTGTCACGGAAGTCACTTGTTGAAGTGTCATGCTCACAATCAAAATTAAAAAGTTGATGCATATTTGGGAAAGTATCTGATACACACGCATGCTGTATAATGTTACCTCTTCTCTACAGTATGTACTCTAGTGATGGGTCATGGAGATGAAGCATTCCTTTTCTTGGCAGGCAATGGCGGACTTCAATCATAGGAAATCTTCATCTCTACTCTGGCATAAGTATGGACAGGGGGGATGAAGCAAATACCATACAACCTTACCCCTCCCCCCCCCCCCACCCCCCCAAAAAAAAAAATCAAAAACACCAAAATAAAAAAAAAATTCCCCACTTTGGGGTAGGTCAATGGGAAAGAGTTTCCCTACCTGTATTCATAAGAAAGTACCTGCTAAGTAACACTCATCCTTTTTGGAAGTAGTGTTTGATACATCGATATTTAGAAGGGGTGAATGAAATTAGGAGGTCATTATCCCTCCAAACCATTGCCACATCCAAACTTGCTCTTCCTTTAGTATGGGCATCTTCAACTATGTTCCCTTGTCGATTCACATGTACTATCTCCCATTCAGAAGATATCTCCCTTCATGATAACACTATGTGTATTATAGTTCTCATCTGCCACGTAATTGATGTTTTATGATTGACAAAATTCACTAACGGAGCTGGATTTCTTTTTTCTTTTTTCTTTTTTTTTTGGTGAGAAACAGAGCTGGATTTCTGTAACCATATTAGCCACCTTGGGATAGTTCTGTTTCGAGGTCAGAGCAGCACCCTCCAGAAATGCATAGGCCTTTGCAATGTTATTTGTATTGTTGGTACATGACCCATAAAACAGCAGGAAAGCAAACATGATTATCCCTTATGATCCCTCCATATCCCGCTATATCTGAGTTACCAATTGGGGAACCATAAATATTAATTTTCACCCAGCCAAAGAGAGGGCATAGCCAGGATATATTCTTCAATTTCTTCTTTGGGGCTTCCTTGAAAGGAATATTGAGATTTAGCCTGGATTTCTCACTAGGGCAAAAGGCCACTTATTTGCATAGGCCCCCTCTCTAGTGAAGAAGTAAATGATATTAGATAGTAGTCGTTCTGTCAGTTGCACTTCCATCCCAAAGTCCCTTATTCCTGTCAATTCATACAAACCAAATTGTGGTGAAAATAGAGCGAACCACACCTCCTTAAAACCCAAAAATTTCCATTTGACTTTCTTCCATTCATTAAATAGTTTCTAATAGTACCTTGATGTATTGTGCACTGTCCTACTTGAGATACTACTTGAGATAGGATAGATGCCCAGATAAAGCTTAGAGAAAACACTATCAATAAAATATGGCTGCAGGGTTCAGCAGCTTACAGAATAAGGGGCAACTGGATGCTATAGAAATCTCTTTCTTTTGCAGGTGAGATTGGTTTTGCATTGATTAACTGGGACTTCACATTTGCACTGTAGACCAACTGTCTATGAATCGTGCGAAAGGTATCCATGTTATCTCCAACTAAGCCATGGATCAGATCATACATCGATCACCACACTTTCCCGCTATCTATGTGACATGACCCGAATCAATTGTAGGACCTTTTTAGTTCATCACCAAGAATGCGAGAAAATGCAGGATGCAGCTGAAACTTAACTGAACAATGAGGAAATTACCTGTTTTTGAATTATCCAGCAACCAGAGAATAAGGCATGGTGACTATCTCCCGTGCTATCTTCATCATGCATGCATTGTTAGATCCATGCAATCTTTGGCAATCCAAGCATCCTTTTTGTGTAGGGAAGCACATGTTAAGCCAACTCAAAGGATGAAGGGCCTTTGGTTTCAGATCCCCGTGCCAAATGAAATTTTCTTTGAACTCTCTCATTCTGTTCGTATATTTATCAAGGAAATATATAAGAGAGTAACCAATGGATAAAGTAGGAAGAAAGAACAGACTTCAAGAATTTTTTATCATGTTATCTCTTTACATCTACACAGCAGCATTGTTCTTTCTCGTCTTTAGGAGAATCAGATCTGATTTATTGCACTTTTTAACACGGCATAATTTTTTGTCTATTTCAGGTCCTACATCCACAATCTATGCGGCCTGCTCGAGAGGGTGATATCCCTGTTAGGGTCAAGAATTCTTACAAGCCCAAAGCTCCAGGAACCCTTATTACAAAAGCAAGAGATATGAGTGAAGTAATTAATAGCAAGACACTCAATGCTCATGATATTATCATTCTGAAGCATTAATCTTCTCAATTAATTTATTTGTAATGTATGTTTTCCTCTCTATACACAGGCTGTTTTAACCAGTATTGTTTTGAAGAGGAACGTTACCATGTTGGACATAGTTAGCACCCGAATGCTTGGTCAATTCGGGTTTCTAGCAAAGGTGGAAATGCTGGGTCTGAGCTCTTTTTACTCTCATACTTCCTCGCTTGGATTAAAGTTTCGACGGATTTATGGCCTACTTCCCTTCTTTGCTGTTTTTCATTACCTTTTTTTTTTGCTGATGTAACTGTCATGACATATCTGATGTAGGTATTTTCCATCTTTGAAGATTTGGGCATATCTGTTGATGTCGTGGCTACTAGTGAAGTTAGTATTTCTCTAACATTGGACCCCTCAAAGCTTTGGAGCAGAGATCTAATTCAGCAGGCAAGCATATGCACTCAGGCTCCGCAATTTTCTTACTAACCAATGTTTGCATTGTTCTTTCATGTATATCTTTTTGGTTATCAAGAGAATACCAAGGATCAAACCCTCGGTGAGGCAGGTCCTGAATCTTTTTTCACTACTTCCAATCATGTCCTTTTGGGCGCCTTTTGACCTTTGTAAGCCCTCTACTTGAACCAACTCACATCTCCGAACAGGTGTTGTGCTGGGCATGCGCTGCACATAGCCAGCCGACTTAAGTCTACTTTCTCTTATCTTATCACCTATTAGAATCACACCTAAGTTTTCTCTAATGTATTCATCTCAAATTTTATCCCTTCTTGTCTTGCTACTCATCTATTTCAACATCCTCATCTCAGCTACACTCTTTCTATGGGCATGTTGTTTCTTGTCTGCCCAACATTCTGCCCCATAAAACAAAGTCGATCTCACAGTTGTCCTATAGAACTTCCCCTTCAGCTTCATCAGTATGAGGTGATCACATAGAACTCTGGTTTGTACATCTCCACTTCGCCCACCCAGCTCCAATTCTATGTGCGACATCTTCCTCAGTCTCTCCATCTTCCTGGATGATCGATCTAAGATATCAAAAGTGCACTCTTTTTGGTATTTCTTGGTCTATTAGAAAAAGGATTGTATACAATGAGACCATTTACCTTTGGAATAGGAAGGTCACAATTACTTACAACCATCCGATGTGAAATCTAATAGCTTGGGTATGTCACAAAGTTCGAGAAAGATTCTTTTGAACTTTGTGCTTGGTCAATGAAATATATGCAGCAGCCCAATTTCACATCCAATAGTCAAGATTTATTGTGACCACCTTGTACCAAAGGTAAATAGTCTCATCATATACTTTCCCATTAGAAAAAGGACATGTAGTATTAAATCATAGAACTCGTGAATTGGGAAAATTGCCAAGTAGTATTTGTGTTTATTAATTACATTTTCTGCTACTCAGCTGGGTGTGTGTGTTTGAATAGGAATTAGACCATGTGGTGGAAGAGCTCGAGAAAATAGCAGTAGTTAAACTCCTTCAGCACAGGTCTATAATTTCCCTCATTGGGAATGTGCAACGGTCATCATTGATCCTTGAGAAGGTAAGCATCTCTCTCTCTCTCTCATATCAAAGGTATTTCTTGATCATTTTGTCCAATGTTTTCAAACTATAATTTTATGTCTCTGTGAGAGCTATGAGTTGCACATGTTCGCCAAAGCAATTATTATTTTATGTTTCTGTTTGAGCAATGAGATGTGCGTGTTCAGTGAAGCAATTATTATTTTATGTTTCTGTATGAGCAATGAGATGCGCGTGTTCAGCGAAGCAATTATTATTTTATGTTTCTGTATGAGCAATGAGATGCGCTTGTTCAGCGAAGCAATTATTATTTTATGTTTCTGTATGAGCAATGAGATGCGCGTGTTCAGCTAAGCAATCATCAAAGTTAAATATCAACCAGCACATAAACAACCTATACTGAATAAATTTGAAGAATTACCACCATATAAAGCAACATGATGACGGCCAATATGAAGTAGACACATTTATACTTTTATATTTTGTGAGAGATCTCGAAAGCAACTGAAACCCAAAATAATCTGTCCTTTTGGATGTTGTGTTTATCTTTCCACACTTTATTGATTGTGCTCCTTTACAATTCATCAACCTTATTAACATTTTTGCAGGTTTTCTGTGTTTTTCGCTCAAATGGGGTCAATGTCCAGATGATCTCTCAAGGAGCCTCAAAGGTCTCTCTCTCTCTCTCTCTCTCTCTCTCTCTCTCTCTCT